CAGTGGACACTGATCAAATTCGAAGTTTAGTTTTCGAAGACTTCTTTGTACGTGAATTACGCGTTATTCTTTGTCATGTTCGGATAAAATGGCTCGACGCGTGAGTAACTCTGATGTCGATTATGGCATCGGAACTTAGATCGCAGGATAAAGGGTTAAAAACGAGCGATAATCGATGGAGAAAATCCTAGTCGAGTGGATGTTGGCAGCGTGACGGAATTGGTTAAAAGGCGAGGCAATTAATTAAACGGACGCATCTTTTCTCTGCTCCCGATAGGATCGAACTCGTGACCGCCTCAGCCCCGTCGCGGCACGCCGTTTCAATTAACGCAAATGAGTTAGTTTCGTGATTTGATTAGTCGAGTGGCCGAGTTCGTGCGCCTCTTTGAGATACGCGGGCTCGGTCGCGAAACTCCACCGACAAGATGCCGTTCGCATTGGCAGCGTTCCCTTTCCGATTCCGATTTTTCTACCGATTTTCTATCGATTACCTGTGTTATCTTTTTCGTCGCACGTATCCTAAGCTTCTATGCAAATTTAGCTTCCATACTAATTCGGGATTTTAGTTGACAAAATTTTGGACACACTTGATGAACTCTCGACAACTTGGATCTCCAAATTTTCACGTTTTCGAATTTGAAAATTTTCAAGCTTCTGGTATTAACCCTTTGCACTCGAGAGGTCACCGTTCGTTTTAATGCTACAACTTAAATAATGAACGATGATAATTATATTAAGAACATGGAAATAAAATTATTCCATCCGTTCGTTTCTCACGCAAATTCACGATTTTCTTCTTTTAATTTTAGCATAAAGAGTATCAGTGACTTATAAAAACCTAAGAAGAGCTTCGAATTGCATCTTCGCAACGAAGAAATTTCCGAGTCGAAAGGGTTAAATCTCTGTATTTGAAAATTAATCGATTTTCTGTTTTTTAAATCTCCGAGGTTTCGATTCCTCGGTGTTTCACAGCGCGGAATATTTGCCCAGCGATTCGCTGGGTTTCGCGTTTGCACGTCGAATCTGGCCTCCCCTTCGCCTAATCGAAATCCAGCGCCGAAGGTTCTCGAGAGTGCGAATATCGGGAACGTGTTGGCGAAATTCCGGGGGATTTCTTGCCGTTTCTGGCGTCGCGCGAGAAATTACAGCCCGTTCGCGTAATGCCGTTACGTGACGGTATATAGCGTGCCGATCTCCAACCTCTGGTAATTTGGTTAACGCTGCAAAATTTGGATTATATCCAGACCGCGGTTCACCCCGCACCGACCGAACTGTTGCAGCCGCGATTGCGTTACCGTATCAATTATCGCGAATAAATTGACACGAATCGCGACAAATGGAAAAATCGGCAAACCCGTTTCCCCCCGTTTGGAGGAAAATTTTCCAGGAAAATTCTCACGCGATCCTCGAGTTCTTTCCCCGCGGTCGTTCCCGACGAGATTTATTTATTCGGCGGCTTCGGAAAATCGCGTTTAGGGGGTCGCGTCGTGGCGTTTCATCGCAAATAAATCCATCGGGATGCGTTGCAGACAGAGATCGAAAATCGGGGAGGGAAAGAAGTTGCAAACTTCTGCAAACAACTGCAAACGGATCGTATTTAACCCTTTGGCTACTATGGGCGCTTAGAAATTTTGCGTTTGACACGGAGGGCGCTTAGAAATTTGGCGTTTGTGACACGGAGGGCGCTTAGAAATTTTGCGTTTGTGACACGGAGGGTTCCTATGGGCGCTTACAAATTTTGTGTTAGTGACACGGTGGGCGCCTACGGGCGCTTAGAAATTTTGCGTTTGTAACACAGAGGGTGCTTAGAAATTTTGCGTCTATGACACGGAGGGCGCTTGGAAATTTTGCGTCTATGACACGGAGGGCGCTTGGAAATTTTGCGTCTATGACACGGAGCGTGCTTAGAAATTTGGCGTTTGTGACACGGAGGACGCTTGGAAATTTTGCGTTTGTGACACGGAGGGTTCCTATGGGCGCTTAAAAATTTTCCGTTTGTGACACGGAGGGCGCCTATAAGCGCTCGGCGTAGTTTAGCTTTCTGACTCGGAGGGCGCTTGTTTTCACAAAAATGGCGCACATCGTATCTTAATTCCTACCGTATAGTACGTATCGAAATCCGCCGTAGTCAAGGGGTTAACGCGCGAGCGATGCGAATCGTCTGCCACTAAATTTCCCGCGTATTTATTAGCCATCCTCCGGTGCGTAATATACCAGAGTTATTTATAAGGCGCAGCTATTTATCCGGCCATTCAATTTTCGTCTTCCTCGTTCTTTTCACCGTTGAGCTCTATGCCTGCCTCGCACCGCCGCCATACTGGCGTTCAGGTATAATTACCGTCTCCTTCGAGACCGCTCCGTGTTCTCGTTCTTAATCGCGCCGCGCGTTACCGAAATGGCGTACGCTCTCCGTTTGACCAAAAAATGGCATTAAATTTGTCTCGACTTCCCGTGTGACCACTCGCGCGGCGGAAAAAATTCCTTTGATAAATTCCTGCGGGAGAAAGCAGTGGTCCGCGATACGAATCGAAAGGGGGCGATACGGGAAGAGCAAAGGGGAACGAATTTGTCGGAGAGGAAGACAGATCGAGGCTACGAAAGTGGGATGAAACAGAGCACGGTCGTTACGACGCGGCATTATCGCGCGGAAAATCGTGGAAAATCGGGGAGAATCGGGGGGAATGGCGGAGAGAATATTCCAACGTTGACTGGAAACGGAAACGACGGACGCGGCTGGTAATATTGATTTCGTATTAACTAACGCCGATACAGAGAAACGCTCCGCGGCGTTTTCCGCTTTGTCGCGCGACGTCCAAGCTCCGGCTGACCCTCGACAAATATTACCCTCGCTCTCGTTTCCACTTCCAAATCAATTTACTCGTTCGCGGTATTGCTTTCGTCCGTGGACGTTCGGGAAGAAGCGGAACGGGGGCCGCCATCGCGGTAGACAGCGCGTGCCAGCTAGCGGAATCGCAAACTTTTCTCGCCGGATCTTCTTTTTCGACGCGGATGATAATTTTGAGAGACATCTTCGGGGCAATTTCCTGAGAGGGAATGCCATTTGAATATATTAGCTCGCGGAACAAGGAGAGAGCGAACAGTTGCTAGACTTTCGTCGAATTAATTTCACACCTGTTACGACCGTACGACTATCAAATGTAAATAACGTTTGTTTACTCGTTCCACCAATTACCGTGTTCGTTTAAACAGAGCTTACTCCGTGTCTCGGTGTATTCTCGCGTTCGTACATTTTATCTTATTATTTTTATTATCTGGTATCGATACGTCATCCTCGAATAGATCGACCGACAATTTATATAATATATAATTCGCGTTAACCCTCTATGGGCCCCTGTAACTTTCAAGTTACGTGCCAATGTATGGGTATTTTATTAAATACGGAATTCAACGTTATCGTCTTCATCACTTCAGTTCGCAATTTTTCTTTCGATGTATTTATAATTATTTTTACAATACTTCCCGTGGTTCCATTTTTCAAAATTCTAATTCTTTTTCATTTACCGGTTATTCGATCATGTTAGGTTAGATCCTTTATGGCCCCCTATGACCTTTTTACCCACAAGCTGGCGTGGAGAATTATCTTGTCTATCTATTGCACATTATTTTGGCACAATAGTACAAACGTTAATTCAAACTTTCAATACGTATTCGTTATAATAAAATTGTCAAAAGTGCTGAATTTATTCGTTGATATTTGTTGATTTTGTTACATACAATTCTTATAGTCAAGAAAAATATATATTCGGATCAATAGAGGGTTAATTATTTTTCCGATCGAACTGGATAAAAATAAAAATCTCGGAAATTCTCCGAATTTATTATACTCGATCAATTAGCGTAGCTTACAATAGCGAGATTTGACAACGAGGAATTGCGGGATACGAAATGTACGTTAACGTTTTGCTATCGTTTGATGCCAGAGGGCAAGCGAATGCGTAGTTTGTCTATCCCCTTTCCTCCCCTATAATTGCGTTTCGTTCCTGCCAAGGGGTGCGTCAGTCAGTTGCGTCCTGTGGTATAGGCAGGGAGAGCCACGCGCAAGGGACCAGAGATCGTAAGCAAAGTAGCGAATAAGTATATAGATCCAAATAAACAACTCGTGTATATTTAATAACAAAAATTCGCGACGAGTCAAACCCTCAGCTTTTCGTTCATTCGTCCCGTAGATTACGCGAAATCTCCGCGGAAAGTACTCGCCACACAGCAACGAAAAGATACGAAATATACAAAAGATACTAAAGATACTAGTGCTCTTCCTCCCGGTGATCGAAAGCACCGAAATCTCGATTACCAGGGTGTTCCACCCCAAACCGGCCCCTGCTCGAAGACACAGCGTCACGTGCAATTTCGGCCACACGACGTCGGCGGAATTTTCCCGATATCGTTCGGATATCGACGCAAGTTGCCCCCTAGTTGCGGAAACTTGGTCCGTTCGCATCGCGAACTTGCGAAACGCGATGAAATTAAATATTTGCCCACGGTTGCATACGGCGCGGCGTTCGTATAAATATTTATCAGCAGTAGCTGTTGTAATCCCCCGCGAAATGGATGTCCCGTGAATATGAATGACGATAATCGCGTGCACGCTATCTCTCGGCGCGTTTCGCGTAAACGCGAGCGTCTGTTTCATTCATCGATAATATCGAATACGCGCGCGAAATGCACACAGAGAAAACGCGTGCTCGCGTCAGACTAGGCGTACGAAAATGGAGGGTGCCCCGCGACCACGTCCGAGGTGTGTCTCCGGGATCAAATCGGGGGATCGAAGACGAAAGAAGGGGGGAGAGGGAGGATGGGAAGTTGGAGCGGAAGTGGACGCGCGAAACGGTCGAAAACTGTTGGGTTAATATGCAAATGCCGACGGAGATTTCCTAATGGCCGCGTGTTTGCATCCTAATTGCTCGGTGGGGTGATATAGGAACTGCGGAGACCGTTCGAGCGACGAAATATTAATGGCACCTCGTATTTCTCTGTTTCAGGTGTGATGGGGCCTCGTGGAGCCGGCTTTTACTATGAGCTGAGGCCTCGTAATTAATCGTGAGTACCCCATTTCTCTCGTTCTTCACCCTCGCCCCGAATAAGGTGCCGCGAGTCCGTATCCTAAACTCGTTTACGCCCGGTTCGACGGGGTTCGCGTGGTATCGGAAAATTAATCGCGTTACGAGTGTTTCGTTTTCAAAAATTTCCCGTTCCCGTGTTCGTTAGTCTCTCCGCTGCGAAGTTTCCTCGAGGAACCAGCGATTTTCTCAACGATCGTATCGTTCTTTCTCGTGGATCCGACGAGACTCGACGAACGCGGTGTCGCGCGATATTGGATTCTTAATGGTTCTTGGTTGTCACTCGCATCGCGAAGTACGAGACACAGTCTAGTCGGAGGAAAGATAATTGGCGAGATAATCGAGACGTTTCGCGATCGTTTCGCGATCGTTTCATTACGGGAGGTTCAGCGAGTCGGGAGAGTCAAGGTCCACGGTGCTGCGGATCCAAGTTCACGGGGATCGTGAACGTCCGACTAAGCAACCTTTCTCTTCGCCCTTGAATTATGCGCTTAGCACTGAACCGCGGTGTAATTATCGGTTCAAGAACGCGGCATTGTCCGCGACAACGGCGACCCGCGTCAGCTGATTCGCGGACGAGAGTCTTCTCCGGATTCCTCTTCGATAAACGTAGGTACCAATCCAGCGATCTCTTATGCTCGCCCTGTTCCTCGAGGAGGCGTTCGAATGGCTCGGAATCGGCGCGCGGTAGCCATTACTCTCGCGGTATCTCGCGAAATCTCGCGAAATCTCGCAGGAAATCTCGATCGCGGAAAAACGGCCGACACGCGATGGAAAGAAAGGAGAGGGAAGGAAAAAGGGAAAAAAGGGAGAAAGAATGGAAGAAAAAAGCAAAAGCAAAAGCCGATCCGTTGCTGCATCGTATCCCCCCACTTGTGGTTCCACGTCGAAGGCAGCTCTCGACGAGCCGAATCCGAACGACGTATAGGTGGTTGCGCGCGGAGCGAGCGAAGCCGGTCTCCGCTGGCGCACACACGATCGCTCATAATCGCAGGTAACCCGAGCTACACATCGATGCGCGCACGGAGCCGTGTGGCAGCGTGGCAGAAGCGGCAGAAACGGCTGCTCTCGACGGAACCGGATCGCGCGGGTGTGTACCCGCCGCTGTGTACGCCGCTGTGTACGCCGCTGTGTACGCCGCTATGTACGCTGTGTGTATGCCGCTGTGTGTATGTCGCTGTGTACGCGGCAGCGATAGAGAGGAGAGCGAGAGCGGGCCGCGCACACGGTCGCGTGGAAGCGTACGAAAGTCCCTGTTAGCGACGCTCTATGCCCTATAGCATCCATATAACCGTCGTATTCGTGGCTGTTAGGGGTGCAGGGAGAAAGAGAGAGGAGGAGGAGGAGGAGGAGGAGGAGGGTGGGCGATGGAAAGAGCACGGGAGAGGGTGGCGGAGGCGAACGGAGAAAGATGTAGAGGTCGCGATAGGACGCGGACGAGAGAGACGGAGAGAGACATAGACGGAACGAAGCGTGGAGTAAGAGAGATAGAAGTCGGGGGATGGTTTTGCTCTGGTGGCTCTGTATTGATTGCTACTCCTCCTCCACTTCCACCGCCTCCTGCGACCACATCTCTCGTTCTCTCTTTCTCCCTGGATCTCTCTCCGGTCGCCGTGCTCTCCGAGCGTTGCCTGTATATTTCTCCTTCTACGCGTACCTGTCTCTTTTTTCCCCTTTTTCTCCGCCGCTCCTCGCCCCGCCAGCCGGCGAGCCGCCGTTCACTGCCACCCCTCGTTCCATCTCCGTCACCCTCCTCGCCTCCCCGTTTCTCCGTCCATCCGTCCGTCCGTCGGTCGGTCGGTCGGTCGGTCGGTCGTTCGTTCATTCGTTCTTCGTTCCTTCTACGTACGTACGTACGTTCGTCCGTCCGTTCGTCCGTCTGTCCGTCCATCCGTTCGTTCATCCCTGTCCCCCTGGCCCCCTGGCCGTTCTTGCTGGCCCGGTCTCTCGGTCCCGCACACGAACCAACGCACCTCGTAACGTCGCCTCTGCTACGCGAAACCATCAAGATCCGAGGTCCTCGTTGCCACGTATATCCTCCGGACCGCTCCTCCTGCTCCGACCCGCGGCCCCATCCGCCGCTTCTTCCACCTCGCTCCTCCTCTGCTCTTCCTCTTTCCTGTGCCGAGAACCGGCCAAGTTCGTCTGTAATTGACGCAGATGCGGCAGAGAGAGGAAGAGCGAGAGGGAGGAAGCGGGAGAGAGGGAGGATGCGAGACCGGTGACAGCGGCTTCGACGGCGGAAGCGCAATTCTTTGCGCTCCGCGTGGAAATTGATCGAACCGACTGGATGGATGCTGTAGAGGGGCACGGGAGCTGTCTGCCATCGATACGCGAGATGACTCGTTACCGCGGCTAACGAGAAGAAATTTTCTTTCGCGTTAAGCGCTACGGTTTCGCCGTGTCACGCGCTCCAGCTGGCTTCCACTTTGCCTTTTACCACCGTTAAGTTTCCGTTCCATACGATTTTAGACCATTCTTTTTTCGTAATCTTTGGTTCGTCTAGATTCCTCTCGTCGAGACGCTTCAACTGTCAAAACGAAAATTATCGCTAATTAGCGCGTTTATACGTTCCAATTACTTACGATACGACCACGATCCTGGTCCTTCGAGTTCCGAAAGGCGAAAAATCCGGAAAACCACCGTGATTCCTTCGTCCAGTCGAAATTCCGAATTTGTAAACGCATCGCGAAACCATTCTCCGCATACACGTGTACTTCTGTATGCAAATGAAACCTCGCTACGTTCCCCGACGCCGAAATGAAAGATTCGACGCGGGGCTAAAAATGGCGACGCGTTGCCACCTGACCATTTACCCCGCGTCCTGCTTCCGGGATAGTTTCGCCTCCGAAGGTGTTCCAGTTATCCCCGAGCACTCGAAAATGCAGGATCTCTCGTGTCCTCGATCAACGAACGCTTCCCCGAGCGAAGCTCCTTTCCGGACTGCGTTAAACAACGATTCGAGCGATCGGTGATCGATGGGAAAGCGATATCGTGTCAACACGCGCGACTCGTTCCCCCGTTGCTCGATTTACCTTCGCCCTCTCGGCTCGGTGTTCCTGCACGCGCGTACCTGCACGCGCAGACACTCGAGGGACGAGTGGATCGGCGTTTAACCGCGACAAGACTCGCGGAGAGGAACGGTCATGATTTAACGCGGATGACAGAAGGTAACGTTTCTTGACAGCAGTCACCTCGAAATTGACACCTGTCATCGTCACCTGCATCGATACCATCGCGAAACAATATCGTTCCCCGTTATTGATTGATCGCCACCGGGACCCGGGCTCGAATTTTTTCCCGCTATTATTAGAAACATTTTTCCGCGGTGGCAGTTTCCCGGGGAAAACGCGATCCCGTTGTTCGAAAATCAAACAATGCATGCCGGTTTCCGCGTTTCCTGCGAGAGACCGTGCTCGGATGTTTTCGTACGGAATCGAGTTTCCGTGGAAGAATCCGTGGCCGGATAGTCTACATCTCTTGGTAGACTATCCTCGATCGTCCATTTTGCTCTTCGTCGATCGCAGGATCGCGCTTCTTCTTCTTCTTCTTTCACGCCGAGCGGAAACGAGACGGGCCGCGTCGCTCGCGACGACCAGCGCGGACTTGGCTTTGACAAGGGGTTGAAACGGTGGAAGCAACATGCGGAATCGGTGCAGCGAGGGAGGATTATCGTTGGGAAATATTTAGGAAAATCGCGGATGCGATGGTCGAAGTTTTAACCGGGTTGATTTTTGAAGGAGGACGGGGCGGATAAACAAGCGCGCGGTCTTGATTAAACGCTCGAAATTAATAAATAAAACACAAATCATTATGCAAATAACCGACGATGAAGCTTATCGCGTTACGTCGATCGGTAAATAATTCTCTCTCGTTGTGTCCACGTTACGTATAATATTTCTACGGAAATATAAAATCACTCGCTGGTCCTGGATACACCGGTGTTCGTTACCCGCGCCTCTGTAATTTATCTTCGCGCAACTTTGTGGCGTATAAAAGTTAAAAACTACCATCGCCTGTTCCCGACTTTTTCCCGCTGCCCACGAATTTTTACCATCTTCCAAAACAACCAAATATTACGTCGACGTGATCTGCCGGAAAAAAGGGAAAGGAAAAGAAAGAAAAACCGCTTCATTAGTCCCTTATCTTGGGATTTTTCCTTTTTCAAGCTACAGTGTGCATCGATCGATGTATCAACCTAACCTCTTTGCTCGATTTTCATTTATTTACCTTTTCACGCGTTTACTCGTTTCTCGGAATGAATGGACATTAATCGAGGTCGAAGAAATTAAGCGAGAATATTATCGACGATATCGAGCACGACGCGGTAATAAGTATGATCGTTTGTAAAATTGAACCGATATAAATTTAGCGAATTTTAAGATTCGTGCTCCGCGTTGGCCTCGTCGGGATGAAATTATTATCGCACCTAGATATACCAGCGTGCAATTTGATTATCGAAAATCGGAGGTCTAGAAATATCGGAGCAGTCGGGGCAACTTGTCTCGAATTTTATCATCGAAGTTACCTCGGACAAGATTTACGTTGATCCGTATCAACCCTCGGCTTTTCTGCTTCGTAACGTGTCAACGTGAAACAGCTTCTCGATTACGAGCCCAGTTGGAATAAAACGAGAGACCTCGGACCACGATGGATTAATACGAAAACGTGCTTATACTCGTTTATCCCCCCTACCTGGGATTTTAATCATCATCCTCTTCGTGTACGCGGATCTATCACGGATCGATAACTCCGACGTTAAGTATATTTTCTTATAGGAAGAACGATCATAGATCATCGACCACGTGTGCGGTGCACGGTCAATCACGAAAGGGGTTGAAGTTGTG